GCAGCGTGGAATATAGGAACAGTATGCTCTTGTGTGCCCGTAGGATTAGCAGTTGAGGCATTGTGGAATATCGCGGCGCTGGTGGGGTTCCTCTACTTTGACTACTGTGTGTAGGAGTTTTTAAAAATAATAAATAAATGAAGACCTTGTCTATGTAAGTCTAATAAAAAAAAAAACAGATTTATGATATATTTATTATCTCAAGTAATATTGCTATGGGTAAACGACTGTATATAGGATTGTAAGCGGAACGAGGAATGTATAGTGTATTGGTTTTACAATGATGTTTATTTTTTTTATTTTTTATTCTGTAAACACCTTTTCTCCCTCTAAACTTGCTCAAAAGTATCAATCTTTTCTGAAAAGTAATGTTCTTGAGCTGGTACTTTAGAAAGGTAATTGTTCGATTTTTGAAACGATACTCGAAATAAAAGCGATTAAAGGAGAAAAACGTACGATTTCATGATTTCATGATTTTATAATATTAAATAATTACGGATGACGTTTTCTACCAGAAATATTGCTTCAAATGAAAAATGACAAGAGATCTTTTTTGTTGAATTTTGGATTTTGTTCCTTATGGTTTACCTAACGTTCGGAAAATTTTAGCCATTCTTTAGCTATTTATAGACATTTCAATTTTGGAAGTTTTTATGTTGTAATTCGGTTAAAAACATTTGTAAAAACTTGAAATTTGGGTTGTTAACTTATATTTTTTTCATTTTTATGATATTTCCTAATTATAAATTATAATTATAATTATATAAATTACCTGTTTATATAAATCGTTCTTAAGCTGTTCTTATAACGCTTTGCTTATCACCATAGAAACGAATATATAAAATTAAATAAAAAAGATTCCCTCGTCCGCTTATAATCGTTTTTTATCGAATGCAATCATTGTATTCAAATCAAATACAGTAAAATTACACTTACTATCCTGTCCGAGGACCGAAGGGACGATGGACAAACATCCACCACCGAAATRCTGACATATACTTTTCTTATTATTTTAAATTACATTTTTGAGGGTAAAGGAAATGCATATTTTTTGTCGATTACTATTTAGTATTTTTACATAAATTCAAATATAAATGTTTTGTACTTATACTTATTCACTGAAAACACAGACAATACGCAACCATTACGTCGACGAGAAGGTTTAACATTTTGTACAATATAATATAATATTTTTATACAAATGCAATACATTATTATGCACACAAACAATAACATTAAATAAAAGTAAATATATTATAATATACCTATAATATTATAGTTGCTTTTAGAAAACTTCTTCGAAATTAAATTGTTTTATATTTTTCAATAGTAGATAGCTAAGTATAGCATATTACATATAATACTACAAAATATGATTCAACGTCAAAAATAATAAAGTACTACAGTCTATAATTATATTAAGACTACTATAAATCATTTCAATGCACGTAATTCTTGTTTAAATGTCGTCATTTACATTACTGTGTTTTAAATTACAGACTATACAGTTGTTGAATAAATTGTTTATTATTCGGTATTTAATTATATGGTTAATATTTGGAAATATATATTAATAAAATAATTATAACATATATTATTGTATTTAAAAAAATTAACGGGTACCTAGTATACAATATGTCTTATAAAGTTATAAGGCATTTTTTGATTTTTATTTTATTGAGCACTCAAAAATTTTACAATTTTGATCTTAAACTATAATATATAGTCACCATCCGCAGTCTGCCGACTCCCCTGCCAAATRTGTACTATGCTCCGGGGATCATCCAACCAACTATCGTGGTTGCAGCATCTACAAGGAACTTCAGCGCCGAAAAACGCCTACCACTAAAAGTAATTTCTTAGATGATACTATCAAACCAAATATTAAACCTTATAATGTAAAAGAAAGTCACTCACTCGCAACAACAGCTTTACCTCAAGTCTCAACTTAATGACTAACTGGTACGAAAAATGGCGTATCAAAATAAACCAAAATAAATCAAGTCACACTACATTTACTCTCAAAAAGGGCGTATGTCCAACTGTTACATTTAACAACATCCCAATTCCCACATAGGATACAATAAAATACCTGGGACTCAATTTCAACAAACGACTAACATGGAAAAATCATATAGGTACAAACCAAAAGACTGACTCTCAACGCTCGTATCGGGCGAAGGCCCTATAATATCGAGAAATAATAAACATCAATCCAAAAGTCAAACTTCTAATTTACAAATCTCTCCTGAAACCTATTTGGACTTATGGTGTACAGCTCTGAGGTTCAGAAAAAAAATCCAACACCAATAAAATCCAAGTATTCCAAACCCTAGCTCTTCGACGACTCTCCAATGCGCCACCGTACGTCTCAAACTTAACATAACATTTAACGATTTCCACATGAAAACCATCAATGAAGAAGCTCAATTCTTTTACTCGCGCTTCCACATGCGACTTCTATCCCACCAAAATCCTCTTATTAAAAACCTCTCCTCTCTAACTCTCCCAGGAAATCCAATGCGTATGCTAAAAATGAAAGTGTCGTGACCTCCAACAATTACAAGTTAAAATATACAAAATATATATACACACAATTCCAACCATCAATAATTAAAAAAAAAATATATATATATTTATCGATAAATAATAATTCATGCTAAGGGTTGCCAGTGGGTGGCTTCTTAATCAATATKTTTCACGTCCTGTCTTTTCTTAGCACATTATTGAACATACTTGTATAGATTTTTTATTTCTAATAAAAAATAAAAAATGTATATAAATGAAAAATAAAATTCTATACTTAATTCATTGTTAACAAAATAATTATATGATAATTATTTTTAAATTCTTTTTTTTATATAATAATATTTATACATTTAGTRTAGCGACMGGGGTAGGTAGTACTAGGTACGCATACACTTATGAAAGATACGATTAATATAATAATATGTAAAATGGGTGGTTCAACCAGCTCGAAAATTTTATTTGTAGTTTACTATAGCTAAATAGCTTCTATGCTTCTGAACGGTTAAGTATCTGTAGCAAGTATATAGGTACCTCCTACTTAATTAATGAAAAAAAGGAACATTTTTAGAAACTTGTCAACACTTATGTGTGCAAAATATAAATAAAAAATATTGCTTTAAACTTATTTTGAAGAAGAGTGATCGTTGTTATGCATAATATTTTCTATCTTTATTAAATAAGTACCCACATCAGTAAAATTACGGTTAATGGCTTCAGTAAACAATTTTATAGAAACTCTCCACGCATCTAAACGGTATAAATTATAATATCGTTAAGCATACTGCTGCAGTACAGCTATTATAATACAATACATATACTTTTACGAAACATATTTACATTTAATTCCTAAGGTTAATAGGCTATTATAACTAGAGAGTTTAATATTTAAAATTGCACTACTCAATAAAAGCRCGTATAGATAAAATATAAATATAAAATATACCCTTTTAATACCGTGCTATTCAATAAAGTACAGTGTGTTGTCTGTTACTCGGTTACGAGTTTTCAATAACAGTCTTCCATATAATTAATTGCGGGCATAACCAATAACTTTCAATACAAAAATTCTGTAAATATTATATTAAATTACAATCTCGAGAAATTTAATGTAGGTACAATATGTTACCTACGATATAATTAGTTTACAAAACTCAATAAAAAAAATTATTGAGTACATACCTACCTACAACGCGCTTAGTTAGTTTTGAAATAAGTTCAAGTTTCAAAAAATGTGCAAATAAAACATGTTTAATACGTATTAATGTATATTATATTAAATATGTATTTAGTATAACATAATAAACAATTATAAAGAAGATGGCCTTACGGACGACGGTCGAAGGAAAACGTAAACGTCAAAAAAAGATGATGGATGATGCATTTATATATTTTTTTAATAAATCAATACTTGATACTACAGCTATAACAACAATAATATAAAATATTGTTAATTATAGCCGATTAGGTATCAATGTGTGTACCAAAACGATATTACGAAATACTGATTTTCCTAGTATGTTGTAGTACTTGGGATGACACAGACTGACGATTAACAGTTTAACATTAATTGTACCTATTTTATGAAAGGACAATAATTTGGATGGGCATATTATTCGACCAGGTAACGATAAGGGTCGACGATGGGTATACTTATAAATAACATAATATAAATTATCATGATGTATGACTATTTAATTTAATTGAAGCAGAACATTTTTAAAAAATTTCAAAACTTTGTTTTTTTAAAAATATTAAACCAATATTATCGTTCGATTTAGTGACGAATGATTTAGTATTATAGACATCATTATAGACGCACTTGAGTTTTTAATCATAGAATCGGACCTAATGAATACAGTTAAAAAATTGKCAAAAGTGTAGACGGCTCGAAGAAATGCAAGTATACAAAATCAAAAGAAAAATCAACCGATTGGAACGCATCTGCCACCAACACCTAGAAATGATTCTAGATTAAAAGATTTTACAAAACGTCGGCAAACAAAATTGTAGACTCTGACATATAAAATATTTTTTATGATTTTTTTAATAAACTTTAAGAAAAACAAGTGAGCTAAAATGGGTAATGTCAAATTKTCAGTAGCTCAAGCTAGTATAGGTAAGTATGTACTTACATCAATTACACCACGTTCGAGTATTAACGGATCAACTGTAGGTACATTATGTTTATAAAATAATTTAATAATACTATATTTACCTCATTCTCATATATAATATTAAAATTTACAAATTTAATAACCGGTTTCTGTGCGTATTATTTAAGTATAGCCTATACGTCCCCAGAAATATATATAGTTGTTATGTTGTTGTAATTTGTTGCTGTAGAAAATGGTAAAAATAAAAAATAAAATGTTTGCAATTATCGTATTTGTTATAATTGTACATAATAATATAATGGTAATATTGGTAAAGGCATTTATAAAATAACCTACGAAAAAACATTTTTATACTTTTTTTCTTTTATTTAAACTCTAATCAATAATTGTACATATTATACATAAATCTTATTAGGTCTGAATGAAAAAACACTTTGTATACAAAAACAATAATACCTTAAGTTGGGGGGACGATGGTCAATAATAATAATTATTGGGTATATATGGTAAGGGGGTGGCTCGAAGCTAAATAATAACTATATAAAGCCATTGCATGGTTGCTATATTTGTATGTGATATATATTATATGTGTGTGTATAATATACCACTGTGGCCGTACACATTAACAGGAAACGTTTCCCATCAAAACGGATGCCGAACACCTGCTTGATTCGTCGTTGTCGTCGTCATCCTCGTCGTCTTCAACGTTCCGGTAGGGCGATCGGCTTTCGGCTGCGGCGGCGATCGTGGCCGCGTCCACCGACGGCTCGTGGAGCGGTGACAGCGCCGCAGGACTAGACGATCCCGCGGACGACGGGCTGTGCGGTTCGGAAGACGAAGTCTGAAGCGCGGCAGCCGGCCACTGGTTGGCGGTGATGATCCGCTCGGACAGCGCCTTGTGCACCGACGACTGGTATGACGCGGCCGCCGCRGTGGCCGACGGCTGGGCGGCGTGATGGTGGTGCCATGGCAAGCCGAGAAGGAACGCGGACGCGGCCGCCGGATTGAACACGATGCTCGGCCAGAACTGTTCGGGCGTGAGGAACGGCAGTGGACCTCCTAACGAGGGTGCCACCGGCAAACAATCGTTTCTGAACACTGTAAATAACATATTTTATTCGTTTATATTTTTAAAAAAAAACAAGACGATATGACCAATGATTTGGTATTTCATATTATATCCAAATATTATATTAATCAAAAAACATTAGATAGATATACATAATTCCTATAATATTATAAGTAATATAGAAATAAGGAATACGAACATTTAACATTTGCATGAAATATAATAMTATACCTAAATAATTCTACACAAATAATTAGTAGTATTCGAAAGAAAAAATTCCCAATATAATATAGTTTATTTACAATGATTGGAAAAATCTAAATAAATTACAGTAAAACGGTATATATTTATGCAATGTAAATTGTTTTACAAAATCTATTTTGTTATTTTGTTGTTGTTTAAAAATAAATAAYCGATACTCTATAGACTAGTAGGCACATGTAATATTATGTTCATCAAATATTATATTTTATGCTATCATTTTTCAGATAATGCGTTAAGGAAATTGTAAATATTGTATAGTTTTTTAAATGTTGGCTCTTTACACCACAAACCTTTTCACACCGCTTTTACAATACGTAGACCTTATTTATAAATTAGTATTAGTATATTACAGCTAATTGTATAATATTATATGGAATTATAGTATAACTATAATAGTCACAATAAAACTTGATGGAACAGTAAGTTCTTCACTTTCAGCTATCATCAAATTCATCACAGAGGCAGAACTACAAAATAAAATTTGAACACTGTAAAATAATATAGTTGTCAATGTAAACTCAACCCAATGTAACTAAAATTTTGTAACCCAGTGGCCTATGTCACCGAGCGTATATTTCGTTTTAATAATTAAAAAAAAAACTTGATGGCGAAAAATGGTCAACACCTACTAGCTGGTAGGTCGTAGGGCATAGATATACAGTGGCGCAAATTAAATGGGTTTTTAAATACTTAATTTCTATAAGTTATTTTAAATTTTTACAAAATATTTAAAACAGTAACTAATAATTTTTTTTGGAAAATTTGTTGATTAAATTCATAAAAGAATCATTCAATTTAAATTTTCAATTTTCAAACATCATGCTAATTATTATTATTTATAGAAAAAATTGAAAATGGCATCCACCGTCCATCAAGTATCCTAGTTGTAACATTGACYATATTAAGGTTTACTGTTGTCCGCATATCACTGGTATTATGGAAAAATGCGTTAATGTTCCCACCCTCGCATATACACCAATAGATAATGGCGGGCCTCTACTGTATATAGGGAAGCTTATTATAGCATCCCCACAATTAGTTCAATTATCTCAAGCTAAATATACTTGGATGTTTAGCTCTAAATAATATATATGATATTACACCTAGGTATATATCTTTTTCAAGTTTGTCGTTGAATTAATAGTAAAATATATAGTCTATAAATGTATATTAAACTATTTTTTAAAACTAAAATAAAAACATATTTTAAACATTTTTTACTGCAAATTATGACAATATATTAAAGGCATATGCAAACACATAAGCATTATACATATAAATATACACACACATACGCAAGACATTTTTTTGAGGCTTAGAAAACCTGATTGAGGTGATCAAGCTACGTTATCCTACACATACCAACGAGTGCTATGGATATGGATATGTTTAAGGAAAATAATTCACCACACATTTTAATAAAATATTTTAACATTAAGTTTTATATAATTATAATATCTTATAATAATATATTTATATATCTTTATTTTATACATTATTTTTAATATGGTCATTTTAGATAAAACTGTTATGGTTTTACATCAATATTTAATATTGCAAACAACGTTATAAAGTTGATTATTTTTTTACTGTGCATGTTGTACCTTTATTTTKTTACAATTTACAAATAATAAATARCTCACAAAAAATGTTAATTTTATAAATTGATAATAACTACTATGTTTTATTCGGATTACAAGTTAGGTTCTAAATGGAGCAATTAATGTATTGGTTTTACAAATGATGTGTGTTTTAGTTTTTTTCATCTGAAAATACTTTCTATAATAAAAAAAAATTAATAAACTAAAGGGTTGTTTCTGGTAGAAAATCTTGTATAGGTAGTAATTTTGGGAGAAAAAGTAAAAAAAAAATGTTAATCACAGTTTATATTATATTTGATGTGATAGTTTTAGCTGATTGGTAAATTAGATAAGATTTACTGATATAAGTAGAGTTTATGTGAATCGTGATACTCAACTATCATCTTGTTGAGTATTAAAATTACACTTAATAAGATCAGTATTACGAACAGTTTTAATTTTAAGATAATATTGATTGTAAAGTAAAATTACCAAACAATTTTTATTTTTTTGTAATTATTTTAAATGGGGATTATACAAACTAAATTAAAAAATATATATATAATAAATATATACCTACCTAGGTGCATGGAAAACACATTTTCTGCGTAAGGTTTTAAATGTTAATACAAACTGCAGTTTAGTATATGTTATAACTTAGGTAAGTATAGGTGATTAATAAAACTTTACATTTTATAAAAATAAAAATAGTTATAACTCACATGTGTGGTCAGGTATGTATGGATTGGATTCTCTGCCCATTGATTTTTCTCGTTTTCTCCACTTAGCTCTACGGTTTTGAAACCATACCTATGTACAACAAAGAAATCATTATATATGTATGGCACGTAGAAATGTTACTACTCGATTCTATACTTGAGTATTAAAATTACAAATTTATTCAGTACTATCACGTGCTTATTGTGAAWAAACAATTTTTTCGGGAAAAGAAGAATGCTTATTTTAAATTAAGAGTTATAAAAATATGAAATAGTATACCGATATAGTATAATAGGTATATAATATATTGTATAAGCATGAAATATTTGTAGTAATAATACTGATTATTACGATGAATATGGGTAATGGGAATTACCATTTAACCATAATTCGAGAAATTATTTTTTTTCAACCCATACAACGTGGTAAAAGTAATATACCACTCTCAGAGAATATTTATTATTAAGCATACAATAAGCCGGTACCGTTTTCAACCTAAGTCCATATATCAAAATTGTTCCTTTTCATTTTCCTTTAATGATCTGTTATCGTCAAAACCATTTCTATACTGTATAAGATGTTTAAAGTGAAGTTTTTTAATATCTCTTATATTCCAAAATATTATACATAGCACTAAGCTACCAAAAGTAAAATTATAAGATTATAATCCACTACACAAATGGAATAATTTACTGGCAAAATATTGTTCTTGATGAAATAATATAGTGAATATTAACTAAAACAAAATTTTGTCTACAACCGATCTACTTTAACGCGGTGGTTACATTCAGTTACGGCACGCGTTCTGAATGCAAGCATCGGCTGCAGGTGTCATTACTATAACCTCCCAAATGGCTGACCAGTGATCATCCGAGTTTTAGCGACAAATCCTCGCCAGTCAGCATAYATACGAGTACACRTGTTCTAATCAACCRTAAATTCCAMCACTGTAATAAGTCAATACTGCAGTAGTGCAGTTCCCACCCGTTCTTGGTCTTTGAACAGGAAAAAAAGGTACACTTTTAGTGAAAATGTGTTATGATTGTGCCCATTATATTATTCGTCATTTGATATTTKAAAATATTAAGAATATTTAATTAAGAATTAATATTGAAAAATTAAAATGATAACCGCGAACAATATTAATTAACAACATAAAATTACACCATGTATATTAGTTAATGTGTATGTACCTATTTAGGTATATTTTATTACTATGTGTATGCAGTGAAAAAAAATATAATATTATTATTCCTCTCTCCGATTAAAGACGATTATGTTTCAAATACCATTTACACCCTCCTATCCACCTAACAAGTACCGTTACCATGCGAAACGATGACAGCCATTGGAGATTGTTTATCACGTATTATATAATTAATTTAGTTTGGCTTAACGGCGTGTGCTTGGAAACTAAAAGTAAGAGGAGGGTATGTTTATTATATTTATATCGATGAATATGAAGAAAGGGAGGGAAAAAATCCCTTTTTTATTGGCCAGGTTAAAATATTGACAATACACTTAAAACGGGAGTTTAATAAACCGGTGGAAGTTTCGGCACCCGAAGGCCATTGTAGGGCGATCTGGCGGCGTCGTCGGCGGTGGTGTAGGAGGAGGAGGAGGGTTAATGCTCTATTTGGACGTCCGATTGGGGTTGATTGTGCGCGTCGCGCGCGTACAAGGGTGTGTTGTGCAACACAATGGGACTCCCCCTATGCACATAGACTACACGAACAATGCACTTAAATGATCGTTAGGAAATTAGGGAGATGTTAAATCAGTTGTCGAGAAATTGCACCCCAATTAACTTGTAATTCATTACCAGAGAGACCGCGCGCGCCGGGTTTTAAGTCCATCTCAATTGGTTTATTGAATCGTTTAAAGAGCGAGACAATCTACGGCGCAGGCGGTGGGCAGAAGGCCTAGGCAATAGAAAACGAGAAAAAGGGAAAGAGTGAGTGAGAGAGTGACTTATGTAGGGGAGAGAGATTTACACGTATATAATGTAGAGATTTTGTAGCCTCTTTCTCTYTTTTTTACCGTCTTTGTGTGTCCGCTAAGTGTTCTGCGGTACACAATTAGCGCGGTGTTTTAGTGCGGCTGTAAACTCGAAAGAAAAAAATCTATTAATCTCTCTCCATTGTTTTCCACTGCTTTTGGAATTATTTAAGTCTCACGTCGTCGATGTGGTGGATTTCAATTAAGCTGTTCCGCKTGCGATTCCGGAACAAAAGGATATATAATATAGCCATACGAGCAACCATATACACAATTAAGACCCGAAACGGAATCTCTGCTAGGGTGACCGTAAAAGACAAATAATTATAATTGCACTATATACATAATTTGTATCTAGTCATTGCATCGTTAAAAAAAWGATGTTAACTTTAATAATTGAAATGGAAGAGCAATGCATGTGTTAATATTGTGTATAGGTTGTGAATAAATATTAATAATATTTGTTGGTACGTACATATTTTGTTTACCAAATAGATATTTTACTACTGCATTAACAAATTCGTACAGATTTATTTTGTTATAATATAAAATAATTATCCAGAATCTTAAAATCCTAGTTTGTATCGGTGTACAACATATTGATTGTCTACTTATATTGATATTTTTTTTTTATATAACATGTCCGTAGTTAATTTTTTACAATTATTATAATCATATTATGAAATATATTTGTATTTTTTTCTTCGATAAATGGATTGGGAGACTTATAATCAGTTTTACAAAAAATTATGTGTTTTGTTTTCAGATAATATATTTTCACGAAGAGATAATTATAGTAAAAATGTATCCATGTGATTCAAACAACAAACTTAAAATTTTATTGAAGTRCTAAAAAAGAATATTTCAAGGTAAAATCTATTTGATTATTATTATAACTGATAGCTTTGTTAATTTGTTTTTAATTGCAGGCACGTTCACATAAATTAGTAATTAATAAAAAAAAAAWATTGAAATTTGAATGTATAAGTGAAGAATTTTACCTGCACTCTGGCTTCACTGAGATCCAATCGTAAGGCGAGTTCTTCTCTGGTAAATACATCAGGATATTGAGTTTTCTCGAAAGCTCTTTCTAATTGATGTAATTGATATGTGGTAAATGTTGTTCTACTACGGCGAACTTTTCGTGGTTTATCGTCATCGTGTTCGTCGGACCGATGAAGGGATGGGTCGGTACCACTAGCAGCATATAATGCTTCCAATTTCGATTGGCAATGAACACTCGTATTTCCTAAAAAAAAATATATATATATATAAAATGGTCAAATAATGAGTATTCATTGTGAATATATACAGAATAAAAATAATCGAAATTATAACGAAAAAAAATCTYTATACTTCATATTATATTGACTGGAGATATATGTACTATAAGCGCTTTGAACCCATTCCTTAAGAGGACACGGTACCCTCATGTGTTGTTTCCGTCTTACAAGTGCGTTGTAAATCTTAAAATACTTATAACTCGCTTCAAAATTAAAATATAGTAATAAGCCCACGAGGTCATCTAAATAATATTCTTACCTTTAAATTATATAAGAGGTTAGTTAACTCTAATTTTTAAACTAATGGAGCTAAACGTGATCTGCTGAGCGTAAAATTGGTCATACTACGCACTTGTTGAAAAATAAATATGTTCCTATTAGTTCGCTCAAGAGCTTAAAAACAAACTGTTGAGGCTATCGCAATTCGCAGTCACAGTGTGTAGAATTGTTCGAGTATAAAATGATCAATTACCTAGGTATACCGTATACATAATATATATAAAATAAACTCATATTCATACTGTTATTTCCTTTCGCCAGCAGGTTTGATTAATACTAATTTGGTACATACAAAGTTCATAAACGATTATTTATTTTAAAGTGGGTTCGTAGATCTATGAAAATTTATTTTTATGGTGGTGTTGGTGACGGAAATGAAGGGCGTTAAAACAACCGGAGAGAGAAACGTTGTCGTTGTCAAGTACCTACTTAACCGTATATATGGCGGAAAGAAGGATATCACCTTATAGGGCCATACGATATTCGTACTGAGTATATATTATAGCTATACCTTGATTAATGAGGGTATTATTTCAATTCAAAACAGACATTTTGTATATAACTGAACAACTTTTAGTTATATGCATAAAAAGGAAAATCATCATAACCAATAAATCTGGTGTAATATTTTTTATGAATTAATAATCAACATTTTGACCATTGTTTCACTTTTGTAATAGTGCTTTGTGGTACAAAATTTTTGAAAATCGTACAATTCATTATTTTAGGGTAGATTTTTGCTATAAAGGAATAAGGACTGTAACACATTTACATATCTGTTCCAACATTTGAAGTTAAAACTAGTTAATAGAATATTTTATTTTAATTATTATTTTAAGCTTTTTAATAAAGTTTAAATTATCATGCCATTTTCTTTGAATATAATGTTTTTATAAGGTATGAAAGCGCTTATTCATTCATCATTGCCCAAAATGTTGTATACACATAACATAGCGTGTAAGTGTAACATATATATATATATTATATATTATGCATATCATTGTTATTCATTATAGTATCTGTACAATTTAGACATTTGCTTACGTTTCGGATATAACATGACATAAAATCACATTTCCAAAGTACTATAGTTATAAAATTAATTAGTTAATTAAAAGTTAAATAGTTTAATTTTTAAATAGTTTAATTCTAAAACTGATTCGAATTATTTTCTATACATTTATGTGATAAGTACAGTGGAGTAAATAGAAATTAATAATTTCAGGGGGGGTGAACCCCCTCTAAATACGCTATTGGATAAGTAGTTGCTAAATTATATATTCAAGATCAAACCTCATCTATTTATATATTTTATTGTTTTAAGTTTTTCAAAAACTAAATTTACAATTTAACCATTTTGTTTTACACGCAATACTGAATTTGTCTATATCTTAAAATTTAGGAAAATACATTAAGTGAAATTTGAATATCATATAAGAAACTAAAGAAACCATTCTTTTTTTACTCCATGTATAAAATATTATAGCTGATAATAATAATTATAATAAATTAATAACATGTAACTATAAAATATCGTCAGCCTAGCTATTGTTATCTCATACGACCCTCGGCCATGCACACGCTACTCGAATGTAGCTGTACCTACCTACTACTGCTAGCACAAGTACATTGTGTAATATTATGATTGCTAAACGTGTACTGATGGCTCACCCTATAAATATTATCATTCTATAGGCCAATTGTTAAGGTTTTTGAGTTGTCTGTGTCCAAATGGACCGTCCGTAAAACATCATAGTGGACACCGTTTTACATATCCTAAACGTTTCTTATAAAAACAAAAAAAATTACTAAAGAATATAGATACGTGCAATTTACTAAAGAAGTAAAGTAAATATTCAATTCTGTTTTTGGACGCTGGCAGAACTGATCGCTCTATTGGTTGTACAACATACTATTATTAGTTTTCTTAATTCTAATGTCCCTTTGCAGTAGGAACTATTTTTATCTATTTTTTCAAAAACAATTTTTTAAATAATTATAATACATATTAGTCTTGATAGTAATTATGTATTCAATATTAAATCTATTATGATTTATATAGTAAAATTATTTCCACTTATATAGGTGGAAGGTCAAGCACACGAGATAGGCTTCATTACTTTTAGTATAATCATATATAAAAGGTACCTACTCACACATAAATTAAACTCTTGGTATATTATTTTGAAATTTTTTTTCTAATCTCACTAGACTATGGAGAAATAATAAAAACGCGTTCTGGGAAACGTCGATGAGTAATTTGTTTTTATATTAATTATTGCTCGGTTACGTTATTATTATGATTTCACCCTATATGCGCCCCATTAAAGCACTATGTACGTACTACCTATAGGTATAGGTACCTCTATACCTAATTACGAGTAAATGGCTGTAAGACCCATCGGGAACGGTGGCGGCGGCGGCGGCAGCGCGTACACGCACGTTGTATAGGTTCATGATATTAATCATGTATTAAAACGGTCATATTATAAGCCGCTTACGAGGTTTTTGTTATTGCGCGTTGATTGTATAATGCACCCCTCGCCCCCACTTAGTGTGTGTAATATATGTAATAGTAATCGGCTTACGGAACGTTCAGTTTCCAAATCGCTTGTGTACCTATGTATACACAATATAAATATCTACTCTGCCCCGGTATACGTTTCATATGTATATACATATGTATAATATACGATGTACAATATTTTATAATTATTTATGCGCCAAATGTACGAACTCGGCTGCAGTACGAAATTTCAATATGTGCGCAACAGATACGAAATGTACGTCCGTTCTACGCCCATTGTTGTGCACAGCACACATTCATACGCGCGCGCGCTCCGGTGTGTGCCCACTTGACTTCCGTTAAAATCCATTGAGTTTCCTGCCGTCCCTTTCAGATTTTCTACCGGTAGCCTTCATCCCCACCATCGTTTAGCTGGCCTCCTATCGCTCTGCGATCGAGTTTTTCGCACATAAACAGAAATATAATATATAATACCTTTGAACATAAAATTATTGTTATTAAAAGTAAATACTAAATAATATATCATCTAATACTGAGTAATACTTGACAATTAGTATAGTTACTGCAGGTAAACTACCTGCTGCTTATTTATTTTGTCATGATTTCGCTGAAATTATATACACACAAACGTGGTTTTCATTCATCGAAAGTAGGTTCTTTTTTAAATAGTGTATTATGATTTATTTCCAATAATTTATATTACCTAGCGTATAAACGGTACGTAGTAGGTACTAGGAATATTCATCGAGGAAGCAATGCAAAAGCAGTTCCCGTGGCGTCGTCGGTTTAAAAATGAAAAAAAAAAGTACTAGGTATATTAGGTAAGTACAAATCATGCATAGTGCCATAGTACCTATTATTACAAATTAATATCAATTTTAAAAAAAACCGTAATCATTTTCACAAGGTTTTTTCTAAGGTATATATGTTATCACAAAATAACACATTATGTAGTACCTATAAATGAATACTAACTTAGTATTACTAAGGTCAAAATGAAAATTATTTCATTTATAGCTAAGAATAAAAAGGTTCTATGTTGTTTTTTCGAAATTTACTTTTTTAAATATTCCTTAGAAGTTTTCACTGGCACATGTTTTAAACTAGTAATTAGTTTGATACGAGTTATAACGAATGAAATACACAAAGCAAAAAGGTTCTATTTCTTTGAACAAACCTTAAAAATGCTCTCCTGTAAAATAAGATATATACATAGAACCTTTCTACTCTCAGCCCTCGAATTATTATTATTATTTGTCTAGTTACTTTCGCAACTATCAATCAACAGGTATCATAGAATCAACATTTATAAAGACTATCACAATGGAGGAAAAATTGATTAAAACGTTTTAAAGTTTAAACTTTTTATTGCTCAGAAAGATATTTATATATGTATACATAGTTAGTACATACAGTGTCCCGCGAGGATTTACCGATTGCGATATCTCCTGAGATAATAAGTATATGATAAATCTGTATTTTTTATTAGACTCGCATAGAGAAGGGCTACATGTATATATTTTTTTTTATTTAATTAAATGTTTTGGTAAAAAAGTTTAAAAAATATTTTTTAATTTTGATCTATAGAGTTTAATTTTCTGAAAATTTTGAAATATTTATTTTGTAAATAAGAAAATTTACATGCCTTTTAATTCATTATATTTTAGTTAATAGTTAATATTATAATTTTCTCATACATAGTAGATATAGTATATAGATACCTATCTATAATTAATTAAATACTTATATTATAAATTATAATACGAGTATATTAGCATATTAAATACTTGTATAATGTATATTAATCTAATATTTTAAAATAATCATCAAGATATTAAGTATTTTATCGTCATAATCTATTTAAAATTAAATTTTTGGTGCTTAATTAAATTGAAGTCCTCTTTGAAAAAATTATGGATTTTCACTATTACCTAACGATAGTATTGGGACTGAATAATAATAATAATTTAATAACTGTTGGTTCAGACGGTTATTAAAAATAAACAGATCGATATTATTTAATCATTAATTTAAATTTAATTATTACTCAACTACCTTTTAGTAGAAGTGCATTATATTTAACTGCAAATTACATATTATTAAATCTTAGAAAATATATGCCATACATTCATCTTGTTAAATTTTTTAAATATTTTCAACTTTTTTATATTATATCTATTTTTGTCTCGGTTATCATATATCAAGATTAATTTATTATAATTGCATTCATTTAATTTTCTGATCTGTTTATAGTGAAATGGATAGAAATTTTATCCATTTCTCGCAACGGAACTTTTTTTTACACATCACGTTATTAAACATCATGGCTACCTTTTTTTTGAATCATATAAAAAAATGTATTTATATATGGAATATGTTTCGTAATCTATTTATCACGTAGATTACATTAAAATGATAAATTTTGATATAAAATTTGTAAAATCAAAAAATAATTTAACATTTTAATCAAACTTAAAAAGGTAACACTATTTAACTTATTATTTATTAAGCTCAATATTATTAACCTTAAACAAAAAATTATTTATTTTAAGGCAATGATAAATTTTAGTAGGATTTTAAGCAAATAAATAAAATTTATTCAAAAATTAAATAAAGAAATTGCAGTAAAACAAAAGTAAACAACACGATATAGCAAAATTATAACAAGAAATTTATGATATAAATTATTAAAATCATAAAATTAAAATTAAAAATCGAATACTTAATTGTTTTTTTAACAAGTAGTATATTACAGCAGTAATATTTTGATGATAGCACTCCGAAAACCAATATTTAATATGAAAAACAAAAAGTCAAGAAATTAAGTAAACATCGCCTTTGTTATTTATTGATGTGGTGCCTATAGCATGCTGAGAAGAACCTCTACTACTTTTTAAATTCAATAGTCGTTTCATATAATTTTTTTTATAATTATTATAGTGTTCCTGACGGGTGGGACACTTTTTGGCCAGTTCACTTTTCGGCCATTCTGAAATGACCGTTTCGGCCAGCACACTATTTTGATCAATGAAATATTCTTTTCACATTTTATTTTTGTTAAACTACTAAAACACTACTTTTTTAATTGACTGTATAAAATAATAATATATATAAAAAAAAATAATATATTAATTATATATACATTAAGATTCAATCATTTTGCATGTCTAAGTACTTTATTGATATATATATGATATATACATATAATATATGACAGCAGACACAATGATACATATATGTACACAGATAGAAACACACTGAAATATAATTGAACAATGATATCGATCGACCAGATATCGTCAAGAATAAGATACCTATAATACAATATAATAAAGATAAAAGTAATAATAATAATAATGAAATCAAAAATTACTGTATACGAGTATGCGTCAACAATTGTCAATTATTAATTTATAATAGATTGAATTAAGTTATATATTAAATAGTGTGTTGGGCGAAAACGGTCATTTCAGAATGGCCGAAAAGGGAAAGGTTTATTTTGGCCGAAAACGGTGCCGCCCTTCCTGACAAGGTCATCTAACTTATTGTCAGTTATTGATAACATTTAAATATTCTTAACAGTCATATATTTGATAATGCTTAATTATTTACAACAAATAAAGTCGTTATCAAAATTCAAAATAACAGGTACCTATACTGCATATTAAAATAAATACAAAGTGGTTATTATTGTATTGTATTTTATTTTATTATTTTAGTTTTTATTAATTTTTACACATTTTAATATGAGGTGAGTGTAGGTATCTACTTATTTTTCATAATATAATTTTTTTTTTTTTAGTTTATTATATTCAACTTAACATATTTTGAAACTTAAAAATACGTGTAACTAATTGTCTATTATGCCACTACTTCGCGCGTCGGAATTAAATCAATGTTCCCAAATGAATAATTACACAATATAATATAATTATGATGGATAAATAGTAAATACTATGATTCACGAATATCATATTAGTTTCAACTACCTATATAATTTACTTATGCTAGTTATACAAATTATTCAATTTAAACATATTACATTATAAGAAAGATATCATTATATCAATATACAGTTAATTAAAAATGAATCCATATGGCACCAAAACAATACAAATTGTCGATTAAAAATAATATTATCATCCTACCGTTCTTAGATGGATGAGTAGTTCCAAGAATTTGGTCAATGCTGTATACATTCCTGGTCGATTTAGTAGTATCCATATTGTATATTATCACTTAAAATGACTATGGTGACGACCACTACGTCTGCGTTATCGTAACTTTAAATGTGTAGTGTTGAATCCTCACCGTGATCGATGGTGTGGACCTTCTCTCACGTTCGCGACTACTGAATGACACATGGTGTGTTGGCGCTGTCGGGCTGAAAGGACCGGTGGCAGGCGTGCGCACCCCCGACCACCCCCCGCGTGACCAACCATTTGGGGTGGTTTTGGATGGAGGGCGGATGCGTGCGGCCACGATCGCCGATTTCATTGGGCACTTCACGACCCTACTCACGTGCCCTGCGCCCCGTATAATGACCATCATGCTAATATTTTGGTAAACGCTAATAATATTATATAATAATACAATAAATAATAAAAAGTTATATTTTATTATATAATTATATGATTTCAGATCACCACAAAATTGTTAACACTGATATACGATAATCTGACAACAACATTCAAAATACTAGGGCATAAATATTATATAATAATTAATATATATATATATATGGCTTAAAATACTTCTAGCTTACCAGGTTGGTTAACTCAGATATGTACCAGTGTATTTTGCATTTTCCTTTTAGTCATTTACTTAAACATTTTTATACTTTTAAAGACGATTATTCCATTATTAATTCATTTTTTTAATACTTTTGTATTTGAATAGGTAGGTATTCAATCTCCCCTTCATATTGTTATTGTTGATTTAAATGTAGGTACATAATACATGCATATGATTTTATATATAATATATTGTAATAACATAAAAATCTTTAAATTAATTAATTCATTTAATATCGTGCAACAATAATCCAGTAGCCAGTAGGTGTACTGCATTACTTCAATAACTTGGATTATCACTACCAGTCCAACGTGATTAGTAATAATCGTACTACTAGAAAAGATTTCCTTTCTGCCACTCATCCCTGTTCTACCAATTATGGGTTTTGAGATTGTCAAAAATACTAATATATACAATATACATAACCTGACCATATAAAGCAGTCTAGAAAAAGTTCTCGGAAAAAAAATAGCAAATATGAATTTTCTAATTAAAACAAACATTGCAATATTTTAATATTTTATCGTGAATGAAAAGTCTGTTGATTATCAATTGTTTGATGTTTAAATATTAAACATGGATATAATAACATCAAACAATTGATAATCAACCGATATTAAACATGGATATAATAACATAAATGAATAACCAATATGGTTGATTATGCTTAGTTCATTGATAAATTATTTTTTGTTAATTTTCTTTTACGATATGAATAGATTTTTATTTTAAATATTCCTCTGATTTAACCCTGTTATTAAATTTAAATATGTATTCAAATGCATACTTTCTTCGATTCTTCTTGATCACAAATATTGTATTTTGTTATGTTTTTTGTGTTGATTCGCATATAACATTTGGTATTATTATTTATGTGTTAATGATTATACAAATAAATGATTTCTAAATAGTTAAATCTTAAATTGTTTGCATTTTTAACAGGTAGGTTGTAAATGTTGTATTTATTCGTATAGGTACCTACTACAATTGATTTTTTAACATAATTTGTTTACATATACTAATATATTATTTAGGGCCAGAACGCCTGGAACTGATGAAATCTGATGGTGGGGGGAGAGGGGTTCTACAAAATTGTTGACTCCAAATACTAATTTACCAATTTACCCATAAGTAGTTGGTAATCAGATCAATAATGGCGAGTTCTAAAATATATTTTTGCCGTAAATCAAATACATATTATTTAATTATTATGTTAGTTAAGTCTAAAACCAAATATGTAAGATATCCGAATATTATCATAATATTTATCAATTAAATATAGGGTTTGTTAAATTGATAGTATAATAGGTAGAAAATAAATAATTACAATTTTATTTCATAATTTCTTATACTCTATAAGACTATAAAACACAATAATAAAAATTGAGCATGTGGTTGTCGCTTCGTGACACACTGTGTATAGTGTGCGTGGTGGTTTATGGTGGCTGAAGTGTCAGTGTAATGGATGTGTTCAATTTGATTTCAATGATCTAAAATCCTTTTACTCGTAAACAATTTCTGAACGAAAACGATCGGTAAGCTTATATTACAATATAATTATAATTTACGTTATTGTTATCAAAGTAATTTATTTTACAATTAGTAAGACAGAAGATTCAATTAATTTTTACCAAAAGCATTTAATTTGATATAATTTAAAAGTTTCATGTTGATATCCAGTATTCACGTATATTTTTTAATTACAAAAAATCATCTAAAATCGTTATTCTCCATTAAAATATTTAATTTTATCAAAATTTGAACGTACATGTCTATAAGATAAAAAAAACTGTTTTTGTATCATTTTTAGATTTTTGGTTACAGTATGAAGTACTTGAGGTAAACTTAAAAATTGTCCACTTATTTATAACAACTATAAAAATTGAATATTTGAAAATTGTTGATGAATTTTCTCAAAATACGAACTGTAAATTTTTAAACACATATGAAAAAAAAAAGTTGTACATCAATACGACTTTTACTGTGTTTTAAAAACAAAACCTTTTATTTTAATAGATTTTCCATTTAAAATAGATACATAAGTCATTTAATTTAAAAATTCATTAAATGATGGTTAATATAGTATTTTAGTTTATGTTCAGAGATTCAGACTTAAGTATTGAAATAAATCCCCCTATATCATATTATTATATAATAGCTCTAATAAGGGGACTKAATAGCCTGCGAAAACAATACTAACAAGGGCTACTATTCAAGTTGAAATCGCAAATTAAATATTGAAATCTATCACACACGAAGTGATTTTTCCATTTAATGAGTTAAAAGAATATTTTTTTGTATTACTACAATTTATTTATTTTTCTTATGTATTTAAAATAAATCATAATATATTCTACAAGTACACGATTTATTAAAATTGGTAATTTAAAAGCTAATTACATACCTAATAATTAAACGTGAAAAAAACATAAAATTAAATATGATCGATACGATTACGATATATCTATTATTAAAATTAAATATCTAATATTAATAGTTATGTAAATACTTATTTGCTATTAAGTTTTAACCATTTTATTTATTATTATTATTATAGTTATAAATATAAGAGCAGTAACATAATGTGATATTAAAAATGATTAAAGATTTTTTTTTACTATTCTTAAATAAGTTTTCAAAATAATGTAAATATACTTCAACTATTTTCATGTACTGAAATACTTAATATATTTCAACGTACATATTTATAAGTAATAAGTAATAAAGTATTACTAATAACAAAATAATACAAAACAAGTCGAAAAAACAATGATTTATAATTTTGGTAGTCCATTTTAGAGAGAAATTAAGATATTTTCTTTTGTATAAGATACACATAATGATTCTATATCTATAACAGTCTATTATTACTACATTTTTATATTCATTCTATTACATTTATATTATTCTATTTAATGGTTCAGTTTCATGTCAGATAAATTCATGTTTGTAATAGAATATTTTATTCGTTTTTTATGTTTTTTTTACACTCATTTCCTAATTAATATTATAAGTTTTCATTTGGATAATTATAATTTAATATATATTTTTGAAGGTAAATTCATAGTGAGAAATAGTTCATGATTAGCAATAAAAACAATAATTAATACATATATAATAAACCATATTACAGAGAAAGAGAATACATTTACAAAATAATGTGGAATATAATTATATGTATATACCTACTGTGAAATGGAAATAATATTTCATGTGGCTTTAAGGCATTTAATATAATTATGTGGCTTTGTTTAAATATATCATTTCTAATTAGCCTCTTATATTAGAAAAGCTGTGTAAAATACGCAGAACTTGAAAAAATTGGTTGAAAATTTTCCAGGATRTAGGTAAAATGAAGTATTATTATTATTTCAAAACAACTAGGGGGTTGATAACTAAGGAAGAACACTTGACAAAAATTAAAAGTATAACAATAGCTTCAAACATATATTGTTTTATAATTTTTCAACTTTTCTGAGTTTTCTGTATTTTTGCACATTTTGAGATGTTTTTAATTAAAATGTACACATTTTGATTAGTTAAGTTCATTGTTACTGAAAGTAGAATGTGGAGTGTAGAGACTTGACAAAACTATATTCACTACCTATTCATACTTATATTTATCTGCATATCGAAATTCAAATCGAATTAGGAATCATATAACCACTAAATCAAACTAAAATAATAAATCAAAAATACAAGGACATAAATATTTTAAAATATATTGTAAATTACGATTCCAGAGTTATTATCCTCTGCGTAGTATATCCATTATTTATAAATTTAAAACATTTTAACTCTATCAACAATAAATTGTCTGTGGTATCAAAATCATCTATTCTATATTCCATATATGTATATGAATTGAAATAGAACATATACTTCAAATCTCCCATCTTAGTTTTCAACTCTGGGGATGGTTTTTGGCTGCTGTCCGCTTTAAGCCTTATTAATTCTTTTTAATTGTACCTTTATCCATAAATTGTTATATTTAATAATACCATCTGTTATAATTTGAGTTATAGCTTTTTATAAGTTTTTGAATTATAGAATGTAAAAACAAAGGTAAGAATTTTAAAGGCTTTGGAATTGTGTATTAACAATGACAGCCTACAGGCCCACGAGCCACTGATTTATAGGTTTTGAAGTCAATTTTTCTTAAATACCAATCGATGAATATACTTGGTTGGAATATTCTAATGATATCATTGAAGGTTTTAGCATGATCACATTGGTGAATAACTGTGAAATTTTGATGAATCATAAGTGTTGCCAAAAATAACCACATAAACTTATTTATACATAATATATGGATATAAAAATCTACCTAGAGCATATAAACTTTTGGAGTGATATGGAATTTTAGAATTAATATCTCAACAACAACAACAATAATAATAATAATAATAATAATAAAAATAATAATTAGTCGGAAGATGGTGATAACGTGATGTAACTATTTAGGTCATTTTGGTTAGATATGTTTATTTGAGTTTAACTACATAATATGCGTGATATAATGCATTACAAATCAATT